GTATTTGAAAAGGCTCTCGGGTGGTTTATTCACATTGCAACTTATAGACAGAATAATTTTGGAGGTAACTATGAAATGTTGTCAAAAAATTCCGAAGTTATCTTCGATTCAAATTAAGCACTACTTATGATTGTAGGTGTGTACGGCTGGTCCGTCGACGATAAAGCAACGCGTCCAGCGTGTGTTGTCATTACGAGGCGGCTCCCTTAAGATTATCAGACATGTAATGAGGGGTAAGAAGGATTTGATTTTACATAAGCACCTAAACATATGTAACAGATGGAACTGGAAATGTATGTAGGTATACCTATAGAATATACATACCTACATAAATGTCGAGGTATATAGTATCGCCTTTGCAAACTTGACACTTAGCAGCTATTTGAAAATTTTGGTTGTTACTATTAGTACACTTTTTACTGGTGGTAAGACCTCTTGTGAGTCCGCGAGGGTAGGTACCACCGCCCTGCCTATTTCTGCCGTGAAGCAGTAATGCGTTTCGGTTTGAAGGGTGGGGCAGCCGTTGTAACTATACTTGAGACCTTAGAGCATATCTCAAGGTGGGTGGCGCATTTACGTTGTAGATGTCTATGGGCTCCAGTAACCACTTAACACCAGGTGGGCTGTGAGCTCGTTCACCCAACTAAGCAATAAAAAAAATAAAACGTTTGTACATTTTAATAAAAAGATTACTGCTTTTATAATACATTTTTTTAATGAACAGAATATGCGGGCAACCTCGGCGACGCTGGAAGCGAGGAGTGGCGGCAACAAGAACAACAGCATATATTGCAACTCGTTGATAAGTTTTAATAATGAATCTTTCATAAAAATAATGAATTTTTATTATAATTATTATGAAAATTTATCCTACGGAAATGTATAATTCATATCGGTTTCTGAAGTTTGGCCGTAATACCTGATTACTGATTCGGTTCTGTTCAAACACACTTAAGACCGTTTTTTAAATATCTTAATAATAATAAAAAATACTGTTAAACATAGTAAAAATGTTTGTAGACAGAAGGAAACATGCATAGTGTCCGATAAAAAGCATACAAAACAAAAATGGATCTGATGTTAAAAGAACCGGATGATTAAGTGATAATTCGTCAGTCCCTTTTCTTCAAATACAGAAACGGGAAAATTACGCTTACGTGAATTAAATTGAAATGAAATTCAGCAATGATAAATGCCAATCATACATTATGCTAATGATGACTGATTATGAATGACTAATATGCTAATGACAAGAATTGAAATTACATATATCCATCCATCCATGCATAAAATAGCATTAATTCTTCCTCATAACAATGAAACTATTTTGTTCTATCTCTCACATTTTAGCAATTGACGCAGTAAATAAATTCTTATTCTTTAAATAAAATCATAAAAAAAAATTTTAGTTTGACGATTTCGTGCACGGAATACATTAATTGTTACCCCGTGCGCCTCTCAAACATCAAACGATGAGCGCCATAATGAATTCTGTCGAGTGTTTGTAGTTCTGAACATTAGAAAACATTTTTAAAACGATTACTTTGGTACAATGATAAACAAAATAGGATTCATATTTTTATTTAAGAAATAATCACTAACAGTGAAGAAAATAATATAAAATACGCAACAACCATAACATAATAAGTAGTCTAATTCATGTAAATTATTGCATACCAACATCCAAAATTTAATGAAACATTTCAAAATAATGAAAATTTGTGCTCAAGTGATGATAATAATGAAATTATTATTATAATTCATAAATAGTGACGAAACGAAATAATAACTTTTCGAGAATTTTAAAGGCGATTAAATCATAAAATAAGTCATTTTATTTAAGATATATTTAATACCAGGATTGTGACATTACAGTCTGCAAAGAAATGACATAGTCAGACACAAGTTGAGACAAGCTAACCACTCATTTTAGTGGAACAGGTAAAACTATCAAGACAACTAGAAATCTGTTTAATATCCCGGTAAACATTACGTTAATAGAGCGAGATATATCGCAATACGCAGATATTGTAATAGAATGCGATGCTAGTCTATAAATAATTTTTGGATGACACTAACATTTTATAAAACACTAAAACAATATTTTTAAGCACACTGTTTTCAAAGTTACATATTGTTATATTAAATTACATACTGTAGTATATAATTAAAATTATTAAAATTAATAATGTAACGGACCAGTCGTTTTTAAATATTGTTTTAGAAGCATTTAGTACACTTTAACAGCCACTGTTTAACAGAGACCATTCGTTTTTAACCAGCCGCCTTTCTTAAATTAATTTCGATTAAATTTTATGTGTAAATGCCATTTAACTTAAGTACATAAATTAGTTAATAGTTTCATTTTTAAAGCCAACTTTCTAGTAGTACTTAAGTAGAATACACAGGTAATTCCAAATAATGAAACTTGTATGCGAAAAGGACACAATGTTGTCTTGATATTTGTCATTATTAGCTATGCTCAATTTCAGATATGAATAACTTAAAAACCTTTTGAACTGGCGTCAGTAGGTTAGAATAGTTCCAGATGCATATCGCAATTCATGACTTCAATGCCATTACGCTGCCCTTGTGTAAAGGAGATAACACGATATTCTCACTCTTATCAGATTCTTAAAATATTTAATAGAGTAATTTTGCAACAAATAATCGATGCAGCTTTGTGCAGCAATGTGTTTGTGTGTGTGTGGGTGTGGGTGCATGGGTGTGTGTGTGAGTGGGTGCGTGTTGGTGGGTGGGGGGTTGTGTGTGTGGGTGTGTGTGAGATTGAGTACGTGTGTAAGTGCGTGCGTGCGTGAATGGGTGCAGGTGTTACACGCACCCATATTTTTTAGACTTGTTTAAATGTGTTAAACACATTCAATTTCGGTATCAGAGCACCAGTTTATTCCAGTTTATAAATTTATGCTCATTTAAAATTTATTTTAAGAAAACCGAACAACGTTGATAACAGACACAACCATCAATCACATTGCAAACTTTTCTGAATTTTATTGGTAGTTTCCTCTTGACTTCTTGTAGTATCTAACTTTTTAAAAATGTTAAATTTGTTTCAAAAATTCAGGATAGAGGTCCTTGTGCCACGCTCTAATTCATAAATAAAGAGTCCTATAGAAACTGTTACCGCGGCAACTTTTGGTGTACTAATGCGTTGCCGTTAAGTATTATACCGTCGTAGATGAAAAATCCATTCCGGATACGATTTATGCAAATTTATTTCTTAATGAGCGCCTTTATCGCAAAAGGGGTTTCTATGCCAGGCTATATTCAAATGCATTCATACAAATACTTGCGCCGCAATAAATTTGTGTATATATGTTATAAGACCGATGTTTCCCAACGTGGGGCCCACGCTCCACAAGGGGGCAATTTGATAATTAAGGGGGCCAATCGCACTAAATTAATATAGAAAATCTGTATTAAACTCATTTTAAATTTGAATTTTAGTTTTTTATTATATGTTTTGAAATATTACTTACTGTGTTCTGATAACAATATCATAGTGATTTATTCCTAAAACCTATCATTTATGTTTCTTAAAGTGAATAAATCAATTTTGTAATGTTAAACATTATGTATAGGGGGCATAAACATTATAGAAATATTACAGTGGGGCATGGCACAAACAAGGTTGGGAAACACCGTTATAGACGGATACAAGGGGCCTGGACCACAATTTTCGAGGGGCACTCACTGATGGTCTGCGTATATCTGCGGCAAAGCAGTCGTGTATAATGATTGGAAGAATTGCAATTGAGACTAGCTCATCTGCTAACGAAAACAAATATTAAAGTTATTGAAAAAGGCGTGTTTTTTTCTATTTAGATTAGCACTATTATAAAGCGATACGGCACGAGATATTTAAAGAAAGTTCTAGAACTGTAAGAAACAAAATTATTAATTTTTCGGGATAGAACTGTTGGCACAAGGGTGTTTTAACAAACATCGCGGAAGCTTTTCGTAATCAAGATACTCTGCTTGTATGAAACAGACCTTTATGTTCATGTAACAAAACTGAAATATATATAAAATTACTATTGAATTAAATATTATAATGCACGATGACGGTAAAACTATGGTAACCATAAATCATAAACTAAACTACATTTGTTTCTTCTCATATTTCCTTTTCAAATCAACAAGATTTAAGACATTCGAAACATTACATTACCAACAGCCTTCACTACAGGGAATGTTGAATTTTTAATAGAATCTTTCTATTGTATTTACTACAAGTATACATAATAATAACATTACGCGAATCGTACACATAATTAATACTATATTTAAGATTTAATATCGAGTTTATTCATTTGATTACATAATTATAAATATTTTAACTGCCACATCGGCTTATAGCTGATGCCGATAACGAATTAAAAACAAACATAAACTTTGAAATTATAAAATGAAAATAATAAACGCGACATTAAACCGCATTATAGTAGAATTATTTTGTCCGTGCAGTTTGGGTCATAAAACATAGCCCGGCTAGGGCGGTGAGCATGTTGGGCGGGCGCATCACCATTATCGATAAAAACAAATGAGTCATCGAAGGCAGGTAGTACACGGCGGCGAGGTGGTATACGAAGGGTGGTGAGACACTGTTATGTTAAGAGTCATTTGTAATTACCTGCAAATTATAGTACATTATGTCGAAGAGAAATGTGTTTTTATGCATTCGTTCTCTGAATTTCTTTAGTGACACAATAGCTACTCCTTTGTTTTGTATCAAAACGGCAGAATTTATTCAAAATAATATTGTGTTAAAAGTTTTTATCTGAAATAAGAATAGATCCCGAAAAGTTACAAAGTGTTAATTTCTGCCGTTCTTGTTAACTTGCTGCGGCGATATGTGGTGTAAGTGTTCGATTAGTGATTTTTTCTTTCATTTTTCTCACTAACCCACAAAATGACAAAACTAAATACACTATCGATAACACTTATCGACAACAATAATGCGCATCACTATGCCCGTCCATAAGGCTCGTGAGTGGAAGAGAGATCGAAATACTCGCTTCACCGCTCCGATTTTTTATGACCCAAACTGCACGGACAAAATAATTCTACTATAGTATGTAATTGAACTACAAATATTACGCGTATCCAACAATAATTATCGTGTACGGAATTTTAGATATTCGTAGAAGTAAACATGTATAAGGCAACCGTAAGTACCACTAAAAGTATCTAAGTAGGTCTAAGTCGAGTGCAATTGCAGCACACAAGGCACTACACGCGGTGTAACGCTATCCAGTGGGTTAAGAGCAATCCCTGCTCATCATCTTTGTGAATGCTTTAGGAATGTCTTCGTTTGTTTTCGAAACGTTGCCGCCGCCCAGCAGCGTCGGCGCGGGGATACTTCCGTCCTGTATTCCGTGCGCCGTCTTGAGCAAATCATAGTTAATCTTCTCGGTCACAACGGAGTCTTTCCTGAAAGTTGTCGATAAGATCTAACAAAGGCACATTTACGAATTCAATTTGGATTGCCATTTCAAGATGAAAATATTTTTGCTTGATTGCCTGTTGCATGTTTATGCCAGTTTATGAAAGTAAAACACTATAATTGAGTGTTTGCTAGGATAGAAAGAAAAGAAGAAAATTCTAGAAGAATATGAATCGAATCAACATAATATGGCTTAATGAAACAATTATCTTGTTGAATTTTGCTTTGGCTTTAATTGGATTCGTGTGAAATCTTTGTTGCATCGGCATTCCTTAGACTATGATTTTGTAATTTGTAATTTATTTAAATCTTGAAAATGGTCGCATGGATATCTATCTATAATACATTACATTAGTACCAACCATGATTTAGAAATGTTCGTGAATATCCGCAATTGTTTTTTTAATGCTTCGTACCTACCCGTGCGGACTCACAAGTGGTCCTACCACAAGTAAATTGAAATATTGAATGAGTATATCGCATATACGGTGTTATAAAGTCACTTATGCAATTTTTGTTAACACTGAACTGAGTATGAGAAAATACATTTTTTAATATTTATTAGTGAGACGAGAGAGATGTTTGCTTTTACTGATGGAGTTTAAATATTATCATTTTATTTCTATAGCCTAGCAGAACTATATAAGAATTATATAACATGTTGAATTTTTCCTGAAAAATTACATAATTTGCATAAGTGACGTTATATATGAATGAATATTGTTTGAAATATTGAAATTTTGTAAGAAGAAATATGTAATGAGAATTTACCCGGTCAGGGTCGACGACCGAATTAACCCACAAATACAGCCCACTGAGTTTCTCGCCGGATCTTCTCAGTGGGTCGCGTTTGCGACCCGGTGGTAGATTCTGCGAAGCACTGATCTTGCTAGGGCCAGTGTTAGCAACACTCCGGTTTGATCCCCGTGAGCTCACCTACACGTTAGGGTGAAGCTAAAATAGCCTCTCAAGGCATCAGCATAGGTAGGAATAAAAAAAAAAAGAGAATTGAATTACTTGTAATGCGGGTGGTTAGTGACGAAGGCTCGCAGCCAGGAGGCCGTGGTGACGATGTCCCCGGCGGCGCGGCGCTGGATGAGCTTGAGGTACTGCTGCACGGAGCAGTGCGTGTCCGCGTCCACGTCCATTCCGGACAGGTAGGACTCGATCAGCGGGATCAGTCCGGGGAACACGCCCTCCTTTAAAGTACAGTAAAGCAAGATCCGATGAACTTGTGCGATAATGAAATTTACACAAGTCTGGAGACATTTAAAAGGTTTTTTTTTTAAAGTTGTTTTAGTAGACATGGGACGGTAGTGTCTTCCAAAAAGTCCTTAATTTGTGAAGTGATGATTCGGAGAAACAAATTCCCGCTACAAAAAAAAAAGGGATCGGTCGAACTAATTTCCGTTCGCTCTGATTTTGTTTAGGATAAGATTTTCAAAAATAACTAAGTCTTGGCTATGACTTTACTTGGATTTAAATGTACATTTGGAAGTCAATTTTTTTTTTTTTGCAATACAAGTTTATTCCTTTGTTCCGGGCGCAAGGCCCAAGGCGCGATACCTACGAGATTCATGTTAACTAGTTTAATTTATATTTAAACTATATGAAATGTATATGATGGATTTGCTGATTCCATGACGCTTTTAAAATGATGACGTCAGCGTTGCTGACGCCATTCTCTTCATCATTATCATTGCCTTCCATAGTGACAGTAATTAAAACTCACTTTCCAACGGATTTCATGTATTATGCTGGAACCACACTGCGTTATGCGCTATTCGTTATGTGACTACGCCGTATTCGCCAAAATATATGTTAAGCGCGCAAGCAAGAAACGTGCCATCCACACTTCGAACTTGTGTGCTGAATTAGGCCAAATAAGGCAAATATGTGTCTTGTTTGCGTGGAGCGATGGACGTGTTGAGAGTTGCCGCAATTTATTATTTCCTAAATATTTCTTACCAATACTTGTTGTACAAAGTTACTAAAAGACCTAAAAGACCGAAAAGAAAACGCTGGAGGATGATTACAAGTCATAAGACACGTCGATATACGACCGCTACAAGCGAGCGAATGACTCACCGAAGTGTGGGCAGTCGATGCGCATATTCGCCTTATTCGTGTCCTTTGAAGTGTGTCAAAAAACCGACAAGTCGACAGATACGCGTATTTGCTATTCGTCCTTATGTGTTGTGTGTTGTGTACGAATAAAGCGAATATTGGCGAATATACTCTCCACACTTCGCTGTATGCGCGTGAATAGCTCGCATAACGAATAGCGAATAGCGCAGTGTGGTTCCGGCATTACATTTGAAGTATACCACAATAACTAAATAGTGACGTTGCGCCGACATATCGTCTTCTCGCATTAAAACTGTATAATCTCAAAACTTACTAATTTTATAGGAGAGTGTTTTAAAGGATTAACATGTGATATTTTTAATTTACTCATCTTTACAATACTTATTTTTTACCTGTTACATTATCTGGGATCATGTCTTTTAAATTAAGATAAAATTATGTATTAATTTTTTTAATAGTAGTCAAAACATAGGTAAACTAAAACTAAACTACGCTCTTTTGGCGTATTCATGAGAAAAATACAGATGATACCAAATGATTCCGCATATGATCTCAATTTCAAATATTTTTAGAAATTGTACACTTTTAATGCGAAAAGACGATATATAATAAAGAAAAACAACGAAAAAAAAAAGTACTACGTGTGACATTCAGGACGTTAGTTTGTGAGACTACGGACAGAGGCAAACGAGCAAGACGGGTCACCCGATGGTAAGTGATTCACCGCCGCCCACGGTCACCAGCGTTTACGCCAGTGCGTTGCCTACCCTTCAGGTAAGAATATGCTCTTTTCTTGAATAACCCAATGTCGCAAGAGTACCGTATAACCGCCTTTAAATCCATACATATGAACTAAGAGCGTGCAGCTCCCGCATTAAGCAAATGTTTACCTTTCCGTTGACGATGTCGTTGATGGACATCTCGTGGTACTCGTCGGTGGCGTCGCTGTGCGGCGGCGCGACGTCGCGTGGCGCGCCCACGTCACGCCTCCACCAGAACTTCTCGTTCAGACACGCGCCTCGACGCTGGGCACGCTGCATGTTCTCGTCCACCTTTTTAGAGACAACATAAAATAAATCTAATACTACAAATCCAATTACTTTTATTACTAGCTGTACCCGTCCGCTTCGCTGGGCGTTTAAAATGAACATTATTATTTCTCACCCGCACAAAGATACTCATCATTAACGCCCCCGCAACTGGTGTAGGGAGTCCAACACTCATATAAATATTAGCCTATCCATTAAGTAAATGTATTTTCTATATGGATACAAAGTTTCAAGTCAATCGGATGCATGGTTCAGTAGTTATAACGGAACATTCGTAAAAACCACTGTAGATTTATATATTAGTATAGAAGAGTAACGCCATCTATCGTCAAATAGCAGAAACGAATATCAAAAGACCTAGTAATATCGAGAACGATCGACAAACGTAACGCCATCTATTATTAAATAGAGGAAACATATCGAAGCGACTGGTCCTGGCAAGGAATGTTCTCGATAGTTGTGGACTTGTGTCCACTATAAAAGCATTGCAGAGATGACATTAAAGCAGTTACTAATCGGTTCTACTCGAAGCGAAAGAGCGAACGGATCACCTGAAGCGAAGCGGAAGAAGTGAATTGTGATTTGTAAAGTGTTCTAAGTGTTTAATAGTTTTATTTATCCGAAGTCCCAGCACGTAACACTATGGAAGAGCTGCGTTGGTAGTCGATTATTATTAAATTGTATTCGCTCTTATTACGCTGAATTCATGGTACTTGTTGCGGCAACATTACCTTGCTGATGGGCATGACGAAATTGAGTTGATAGGAGAGTATGACCCGTGTGAGCAGGACAACAAAGCAGACGTAGGCCGCGTTCTCGAAGTCCGTGAGTTGAGCTTCACAGGGGCGGAACTCTACGCGCCAACCGATCGACGAGTTCGGGGGCGGCGGCTTGAACCTCATGGTCTGCCAATTCGTCGACTGTATATTCTAAAATCGAAGTTTACACTTAAATAAATTTAGATATTTTAACTGACTCGGTCGGTGGTGCAAGTTCTGACTATTGCGCCGTGGGTCGTGGGTTCGATTCCCGCATCGGGCATACATTCGTTTCAAGAACATGTTTGTTTGCTCTTAGTCTTGCTGTTTATCATCTAAATATGTATATATTTAAACATATATTAGAATGTATGTCAGTCTCTGGTAATCATAACACGGGGATTTCTAATTTGGGGCCAGATGACCGTGTGTGATTTTTTCCCCGTTATTTATTTCTTATCATTTTAATTAATATAGTGTGGAAGTAATAATTTTGATGCCTTTTACACACAATAGAAAATTACACTGCCATTTTTCTATTGGTATGTGCATATAACAGTCTAAAAAATTAAATCAATAAAAAAAATTTGGTAGAGCAGCATCTTGTGAGCCTGCATGGGTAAGTACCGCCCCACCCTGCTTATTTCTGTCGTGAAGCAGTAATGCGTTTCGATTTGAAGGGTGGAGCAGCCCTTGTACCAAAACTGAGAGATAAGTTCGTTACGTTGTTGAAGTCTGGACTCCAGTAACTACTGAACATTAGGTGGGCCGTGGGCTCTTCCACCCATCTAAGCAATAAAAAACAGATAGTGTTCTAAAAAAATTATAAGGCTTCACTTTTTTTAATTTCTGAAGAAATGAAATTCGTGACATTATTAACGCTTATATTATCAAGAAATTCATTCTCAACGCCTCGCACAAACAATAGTTACTCAACAATGCCTTTTCATGAAATTATGGTTGGTAATAAATTACTCATGTTTTAAAATTCTTTAATTTAATGTACATAGGTAATCGGTTTTAGGTAGGGTTTTTAGTATTTTTTAGCATTTCATAATAATTAAAACCCCTCTTAGGGTTTAGACTCGCGTTTAATATCTTACTTTATAACTTTCTTGGTGATAGACTTCTAAGGTATGTTATTATTCGTTAGTTAGTATAAATAGTTGTTATTGTATACTTATTATATAGTTATTATTTGTTAATGTTTGAATATAGTGCTATTTTTCGATAAAAATATTTCTTGATTTTTACTTTTATTTTTCAAAGTAAAAAATATAAAGAAATGTATATAAATCATGTCTACGACTGGCAAAGAACAAAAAAAAAAACACAAATTTAAATGTATTTCAGTACTGCACTAAGATAAATAAGCGGTTTGACCTTGCAGTATAAAAGTTGGATTTCTTTAGTGAAACATTATCACTATACGACCTTCGCAGCAAGGTCGATTTTCATTGATACAAGAAATGCGACAATTCAGTAAAATTAAGCCATCTAAAAAAGTGTTGCTGAGTGATTATGTGTCTGCACAGTCCAGTGCCACCTTTCTATCTATTTCTGATGCGCATTAAAAATTGATTAAATAATTACTTAATATTTAAGAAAACACTACGGTCCGATCGATTAATTTTTTCTTATGTCAGGACAATAAAATGAAAATTGAATTTCGAACCGGTGTGGCTACATATACTTGTTGTGGTAAGCACTCTATACTAGGTGGGCCATTGTTGGCTTTTCTATCCCAATATGTTATGTATTAAAAATTAATTATTTTTAAGTTGGTACAACAACTGTACCCCTCCCTCTCTTCCCCGTGAATGATCGTAAATAATACATGCGTATAAAAGTGCTCCGAGGTTTTATTAACAAATCCGTCCTAAAAATCAGTTCACCGCTCTCAACTTCCTACAGCAGTTCGAGTATCTATCTATGGCAATACGAAATATGGAAACCATTTGACAAGTATTTAAAAATTACGTTTATAAATTAATTAACTTATGTAATGCTTTTTCAAAGCTCCATAAGAATCTCCTATCGTTTGAGACGCAGAAAACGCACCGTTCATACTCTTTGGACAGATGATACACTGAACTGATAACCAGGTATTTGGGAGTCATCATGGATAGCTCCATGGCCTTCCGATTTGACGTAACTGTCTCTGACAACGCAGCGCTTATCTACAATTCGACCATAAAAAAAAACTAACCTCAAAATGATCAGTATCGTTTTCGTCATCCTGGTGAACTTTTTCAGAGAAGAGAGAGACGGTGTCTCGTATGAAGAGATGTGCCACGTGCAGGGCGAGGGGGTGGTCGATTCCGCCCTCGCGGAGTCGCTTGTAGATATTCTGATCGTGCACGATTGGAATGTCGTTGTATCTGGTTATTAAACATTAAGGTTTTAAGAGCGATTGCCAACCGTCCGCAATGCGGCACTAAAAATTATAATCAACTAAATATCTCTAAACTGCTTAAGCCTCCGTCATTTTTATTATATTTTATTATTATTAAACTAGGTCAATGTACGAACCAATCGAGCCCAGACATGTCGCGTTGAGGCATGAGATTGAAGTCTCATTTGTGTTTTTTTTAAGAGTCTATTCTACCCGTCAATGAGTACGATGACTCGCGGATGAGTGACGTTGATCAACGTCAACCAATAGCAATTTCAAATTTTCGCTAGATTAACTAATTTCACGAATATTTAAAAATTCGAAGCGTTCGTGGTGGTTCGTGGTTCGTTCGTGTAAGTGTGATCACAGTTCTTTTTTTTTTTTTTTGTGGTCCGACTAAAAAGATGTTGGGTTTCTGTGAAACTTTGTGTAAATAAAAAGCTCCCACATTTTGACGACTTCCACTGTGAAGGAAGAACAATAATAAAATGTAAAACAAAATCTAAATTTAATATTATTAAAAAAAAAACTCACTTTTCATTTTGTGGTGAGAGATAGGAATCGATTGAATCATAGCGCGACTTTTGGATTCGAAACTTATTGTTCTTGAGCGGCTCGAGGCCTCTCTCCTCGCGCGTGCGGCAGTCCACAGATGCAGAAATTACGTTCCAACGACAATCCACGTCGGTGAGGTAGCCACGGTATATGGGAGACGCTGCCGATAACGCCAACTAAATGAAAAATTTAAAAAGACATTTAATATATTTTATGTTGAAGATATTAAGTTAAACGTTCACTAATGTGACATTTCATTTTACTACCATGACTTAGTGAAAGTTCAAAATGTTTCAAACGCAAAATGCACGTAACATTTCGCTGTCGTATACAAGTTAGTGGAATAGGCGTTAAATAATGTTATTGCAATTGTGAATGACGGCATGCACGTTGTGATATCTATGGGCTCCAAAAAACCACTTAACACCAGAACATGTGCGGTAACATCAATGACAGTAAAACCACACTCTCTTTACTGATATTTACTAATAGTCATAAAATAATAATAAAGACAAATAAACTATACACAGCTATATTTAATATATCTTTTTTGATTATAAAAAAAGCCGTATGCTCGTCTGTCTATATAAGGGCAATAAAAAAACCGGAGGCACCGCAGTTGTTGACATTTGTCCTAACACGTATTTACAATTGAACATTATACTCTTTCTTGTGTTTTTTCAACAAGGTATTTTCTAAAAGAGTTTTTATTATTAGTGTAGATATCTAAGAAAAATACTATAAAAATTGATAAAGGCATACCATTATTGGACATAAAGGGGCTAGCTGATCGTACAGAGTGCGTGCCTCGGTAATGCAACATGCTTGAAAGGTGAGTTGCAAACAGCAACAGCCCATACCGAAACCCATTGCGTCCATATACACGCAATCTGGCTTTGCTGCATCCGGCTCAAGTGTATGAGAGTTATCCACTGGTATCTTTGTATTTACATCACGAAACACTGAAATATTAAAACATTACTAATTTCTCATATATCTATTTTAATGTAGTGTATAGGTATTAAATAGTACAAAATAGCACCTGGTATATTTATAGCAACCTTTTCGCCTCTTCTCAGTCTTATATTTGAAGTCAGAGTCTTAAATCTTGGATGTCCTTGATATATTCCCTCGTCTGGGAAATAATGAGATCTGGTAACGCCTTCATTAGGAGTTGGTTTATAAGGTGGACTTGTGAAGTTTGTACAACCCAATCTAAAAAGGATTTTATAAATCAGTAAAATAAGACTAAACCTAATTCTAAGTACCTGAAATTACAGAAATGACAAAAACGATGACCTGTCTACCTAAATAGACCTATTAGATTATTTTACACAAATTATTCACCTAGGAAAGTTAGTTATACTCATTATAACTTCACCATCCTGCAACAGAGCGCTGGCTTCGGCTCGGCGATACTGCATATTGGCTTCCACAATGTTGAAATGTGCTAAAAGTCCTCCATATGGCTTTCCTGGGGTACCCTCTACCATGTAGACTCCATACTCCGGCCGCCATAGGGATTTTACATCTGTAATAATTATTAACCATTCATTTTTACCATTTAGCTAAAATATATCGCTAGTCTCCTATCTATTTGTTCTCAAGAAGGGCATTATTATTTTATAAAAAAATGCATAATTCCATTACAAAGACATCCATAGGTCGACTGAACTAAATTCTCGCAATGGCTTTGAAAACAAGCATATCTCAATTAACACCAGCGTTAAAATATCTTGTATTTTCTTTTATAGAATCAGAACCAGAAGTGATTTTACCCTCCAAAGGGTAACCTGACAGACTCCTCTAGTTAAAGGCCTAACGCAACAACTTCCGTGCTTTTAAATTTCCAGTTCCTAGGGTATTATCAGGATTCCCGGCAGGTACTCCGATACCCTGATTAATGATAACGGCATTTCAAAATATACAAAGGATGGAAAAGCGGGGCCGAAGCACAATAAAAACCATCAGTCTTTGTCTCAGAGCGAGCAGGAGAGGCCTAAAACTTGGGTTTGTAGTTTAGAACTCTCCTAAGTGAGTTAAATTTATTTCAAAATGGATTATTTTGTCATGACGCCGCCAGTGTGTCGATTCAAAAAGTATTCCCGAAAAATTCGTTTTAACTGTTTCTTTAACTTCATCTGTGTTTGACTATGATGATTATGATTTTCATATTATCATTATAAACATTTCCACTAAAATTTACATTACTGCGTCTAATCACAGTGAATCTTAAAAAATATTATTTACGGCTCTGGCATGAATTTTCTGAGCACTGTAATATATTATTTTTCAAAGAAATTTTGGGGAGGGGATTCTTCTGTAGTATATAGTGACTTGGCTTTGTCCATTTTTTTCACCAAGCTCCATTACACCGTGGCTTTGCCCTGAAATTGTAGACCATGTGGTTGTCTGTCGTATGCAATAAAAAGAATTCGTAACTATATATGTAACCTTAACAATTTTAAAAAAATACATACTTTTCATCACATCAAATGTATTTCATAAAAGCAAAAGTTGTGGAAGACACAAAAGTTCTGGCTTTAAGCGCTAAAAAATCTGTGCCAGTGACATTACAACAAACAGCTAAATACCCTGAGGCCAACTACTTCCAATAATTATACAGTAAAACCTATATGTTCCGAAAAAGCTCAAATGATCCTGATCAGATTTAAGACTATAGACTTGTTCAGCAGTTATGCCATCTATTAGAAATATGAAATTTTTTTTATCAACAAATGACAGAGATAGCATGGAATATTCACTAGCCCACATAAATTTAAAATATTACAATTTTGTTCTTATGCATATTTTACAACATAAGGCAAAAGTGGGTTAGTCATAATAAAAACTATCAAAGTTCAGCAATTATTTATATAAGGAAAATGGCAAAGTCATAAGACCACTAATAAATTACAATAAAACAGTCATGGAATATTTAATTCAATACATATTGCTGTGTAGAGGGAAAAATGTTTGGTTAAGCCAACAAAGAGCCAATCTCAAGGGAACAAAATTTTTCACCAAGATGGTGATATATATAGCTCAACAGACCTAAGGTCTGAGTGTTGTTGTTCAAAACCTGTAAAAATGCAAAGCTATTTCTATAAGGTTGTTAAGGCAATTAAGGCTTCTGTCAAATATCTTATTTACTACTTCAATATGATTTCTAAAATTATAAAATGAATTTCCTAGATCAGTGTATCTAGAATTCTGCTACATTGTGAATTGATCTTCAAATCGAATTTAAATTTATCTGTATCATCAATGGAAATTAAATTAAATAAATGACCTAATATGAATAATGTATGTTTATATAAAATGAATAAGTTAATACTTAAGCTGATAATCGAATTGAATTCAAACTTTATCCTAGTTGGTAATTACCTAAGTCTCTGATATAGTACCATTAGCATACAACAAAGGTAAAAGTTGGTTAAATTATGTTCACATTTAAGTGAAATTTATTGCATTAAGAGCTCAACCTTGGTAAGTTGTGCAATTTGTATTAAATGAATAACTGACCAGAGTTTTGTCTCAAATTTATTGCAACATTTAAAGTTGTTCATAAAATTTTTTGTTTAATAAAGGCATCATAAATGTTTGTGTGTAATAAAAAAACAACTTACTCTGTGGGTCTGCAAGTTCTTTTTCTTGTAACTTGGGCAATAGCTCATTTGCCCTAAGACTTACTGTGGCTCTTTCATTCTTATCATCGAACTTCACTATCACATACTCCACCTAAAATTTTACAAATTGAACTTCTTGTAATTTTCATTAATGAGTTGAATTAATTATAAACTCGATAAATATGTTTGTGTACAAATATTTATATTATTTTTGAACATTTTTTATTTGCCTTACAATGTGATTTTATGGAAGTGGTCTTGCGATTGTGTTAATATTGTGACAAAAACAAACCTCATCACCCCACTTAAGAACATCACCAGTGCGATCTTGAAGTTTTCTGTACAAATTAATGAATTGTTCTACACCATGTTGTCGTACGTGCTCTGCCAAAGCTTTAGTTTCCTCCCAAGACAGTGGGCTACCTTCAGTTAGCAAACCCATATTAACCGACTGAACCCGAAACAGATTTAAAGTTATATGAAGGCTGTGCAATTTTTTGCGAACACGATTAAATATAGACACAGCACTAAGTCGAAAAAAAAAGTTCATGTAAGTTTATAAACAAGTTTCAACGAAGGGGAACAAAATACGTTTGTCGTAGTCTCGTTTGAAAACAGTCTTTTTCACAATTTACACATTTCGCAATTGGTAATATTCTACGAATTAATATAATACTCTAAACTCTAAAACCGAGTTTGTTATTGTATAGTAGAGTACATCTAATATACGATATTTGGTGAATCGGCAATATTTATTTAAATTTCACGAGTTTGCGTGTTGTTAATTTTAAACAAAATGTTATTAAACAAAATGGTACGACACGCGTTTTTGTACGGATTTCATGGAACTATGACCTTTTCATTTCATTACAATTTCAACTGATTGCATGATATAGGTACATATTCCCTTCCAATTTAGTAGGTAGGAACGGTACGGTACCGTAAACGTAGGTAAACTCGGATTTATCAACTCAAATTGTCACTGTCAAATGTGCTTTACATATTAGTATCAACTGTCAACCAATCTTAATTAAAAAAGGACATAAATACATACATATTAATGGACAGTTGGATGGTATAGTAATCGGCACGAGTTGTGAACTCTCGACAAAAGAGTGGAGGCCGTCTGTCTGCGCATTAGGGTCAAAATAAATGGTTCACTCATGTACTTAATATATATTTTTATAATTAAACTAGCTTTTGCCCGCATCTTCGTCCGCGTGGTTTAGTTACTTTGGCATAACATTAAATTTTACCCGCCTCTTTATTTACGTTGAAAATGAAATTAATTTTAAATAATATAATGCTAAGGAGCTATTTAAGGTACCAAAATCACGCTTTTTAACCGACTTCAAAAGAGGAAGTTATCAACTCGACCATAATTTTTTATCTATGTATGTTCACCGATTTCTTGAAAATACTTGAACCGATTCTGATAATACTCTTTTCTTTTTTTTTGTTCGAAAGGGTAGACTTCCGGAATGGGCCTGTAATCATCAAGATCTGATGATGGAGTCCTTGAGAAATCCAGAAATATCTATAATTGTCAAAGCCTATCTTGAAGTGATTTGGGTGTTTCATTGTTGTAATGAATGACGTATTTATTTGGATAGGGATTAATATCATCTTTATAAAAACACCTTCACAAATATAATGATGTATTTTAGATTAAATTTGGTTAGCATAAAAAAAATTATAGTGAGCCAACCTTTAAATATAGAGTAAATGCTTAATTACTAACTTAAAATTTTAACTTAACGTAAATATAGGCTAACTAGAATAAAAGCTGTCCCGGACTTTTTTTTAAACTTTGAATGGGGAACAATTTTGTCATATATTATTTTAGCGAAACTTTAATCGTTTCCGAGGCGCAGGCAGCGGAAGCTCTCAAAAGGAACAAAACCCCGATTTTGAAACAGTCTTTATTGGTCTTAGTATGATGTTATATAGCCTTCCTCGATAAATGGGCTATCCTTAAGTATTGTATATATACTTGTATATATATAAATAGATAGATTAAATTAGAATGCAATAATTAAATAGAGATTTTAGGTAAGTATGCGCTTATGTTGTTTTAATCATACTAGAACATATTATATACGAAATAAAAAAAATTGTGTTAAATACTTCATTCTATCATAAATGACACACCGTCCATCAAATCACTTTCTCCAAAATGGTTAATACTAGCGGTAGGAACTTCATCTTCATCAACATCATAGGTGTCATAATCGAAATCATTTGTATATTCGGTATCCGATGTGCGATCTTCATCACTATCGGAGTCATAATCACTAATATGAATAATAAATCCTTCAGTCAACGTGTCCACCACATGATCACCTTCCCTCCCACTGTGACGAAACGGGCAGACTCCGTATAATCCGTCCGTATCCGTCCGTATAAGGCCCCCGGGGCCCCGATCAACGTATCGTCCGCGTAACAAATAACGCGGAGGCCCGGGAGGAGAGCGCCTCTCAGCACCCAGTAGCCTTTTGGGCCATAGCTAAATCTCTGCACCAGTTCCCTCTATACCATCTTAAATGCCGCTATGACGTACTGCATCTTTCCGGCGGTATGGAAAGAAGCGGTCGTTATCGATACACAAGCCGGGCAAACCGAATAATGAAACCGCTAGTTACCGTCCGATTAGTCTCCTCCCTGCGATAGGCAAAATTTACGAACGGCTCCTTCGGAAACGCCTCTGGGACTTCGTTACCGCGAATAAAATTCTAATAGACGAGCAGTTTGGATTCCGCGCCAAACACTCGTGCGTACAACAAGTGCACCGCCTCACGGAGCACATCTTAATAGGGCTAAATAGGCGTAAACAAATCCCGACCGGCGCCCTCTTCTTCGATGTAGCGAAGGCGTTCGACAAAGTCTGGCACAACGGTTTGATCTACAAACTGTACAACATGGGAGTGCCAGACAGACTCGTGCTCATCATACGAGACTTCTTGTCGAACCGTTCGTTTCGATATCGAGTAGAGGGAACTCGTTCTCGTCCCCGTCATCTGACTGCCGGAGTCCCGCAAGGCTCCGCACTCTCCCCGTTACTATTTAGTTTGTATATCAACGATATACCCCGGTCTCCGGAGACCCATCTAGCGCTCTTCGCCGATGACACGGCTATCTACTACTCGTGTAGGAAGATGTCGTTGCTTCATCGGCGACTCCAGACCGCAGTAACCACCATGGGACAGTGGTTCCGGAAGTGGCGAATAGACATTAACCCCACGAAAAGCACAGCGGTGCTATTCAAAAGGGGTCGCCCTCCGAATACCACTTCGAGCACCCCACTCCCCAGTAGGCGCGTAAACACCTCCGCCGTTAGCCCCATCACTCTCTTTGACCAGCCCATACCGTGGGCCCCGAAGGTCAAATACCTAGGCGTCACCCTCGACAGAGGGATGACATTCCGTCCCCACGTAAAAACGGTACGCGATCGCGCCGCGTTTATACTAGGACGACTCTACCCAATGCTTTGTAGACGAAGCAAACTGTCCCTCCGTAACAAGGTAACCCTCTACAAAACTTGCATACGCCCCGTCATGACGTATGCAAGCGTAGTGTTCGCTCACGCGGCCCGCACCAACTTGAAACCCCTTCAGGTTATACAATCCCGATTCTGCAGGATAGCCGTCGGAGCACCATGGTTCCAGAGGAACGTGGACCTCCACGATGACCTGGAGCTCGACCCCGTCAGTAAGTATCTACAGTCGGCATCGCTGCGCCACTTTGAGAAGACGGCACGACATGAGAACCCTCTTGTCGTGGCCGCCGGAAACTACATACCCGATCCTGTAGACCGTTTGGTAAACCGTCGACGTCGCCCAAAGCACATCATCACGGATCCTCCTGATCCATTAACGGTGCTTTTAGGCAATACAAGCACCGGTCACCGTCCTCGTCGAACCCGTCGCTTGCGACGAAGGGCTCGACGAGCGAATTAACCCACAGACACAGCCCACTGAGTTTCTCGCCGGATCTTCTCAGTGGGTCGCGCTTCCGATCCGATCTTGCTAGGGCGGTGTTAGCAATTCTCCGGTTTGAGCCCCGCGAGCTCACCTACACAAGCTAGGGTACGCTGAAATAGCCTCTCAAGGCTATCAGCAAAGGTAGGAAAAAAAAAAAAAAAAAAAAAAGGTCCCTCTATCGAAGGGCAAGCGGATTATGTGGAACAGGACTACCGTAGACACACGATTCCCCTGCATTCTCACCCGAACGTCAAATCATTGCCCGTAACAGAACCCCAGAGAAGTAAAGGCTATCGCGGTTAACATACTACCGACTAGGCGCGTCAAATGCTTAGGCGTCACCCTCGACAGAGGGATGACATTCCGCCCCCACTTAAACACGGTACGCGACCGTGCCGCCTTCATACTAGCACGTATCTACCTGATGATTCGCAGGCGAAGTAAATTGTCCCTTAGAAATAAGGTGACACTCTACAAAACTTGCATACACCCCGTCATGACCTATGCAAGGGTTGTGTTCGCTCACGCGGCCAGCACTAACTTAAAATCACTCCAAGTAATTCAATCCCATTTTTGCAGGATAGCCGTCGAAGCTCCGTGGTTCGTCAGGAACGTCGACCTCTATGACGACCTGGACTTAAAGTCCATCAGTAAGTATCTACAGTCGGCATCGATGCGCCACTTCGATAAAGCGGCACGACACGACAACCCTCTCATTGTGGCCGCCGGTAACTACATTCCCGATCCTGCGGACAGAATGGAAAGCAGTCGACATCACCCCAAACACCTCATTTCGGATCCTCCCGATCCACTAACGGTGCTTTTAGGTACCTCAAGCACCGGTCATCGTTCTCGTCGAACCCGTCGCTTGCCACCAACGGGTCGACGAGTAAATTAACCCTCAGACACAGCCCACTGAGTTTCTCGTCGGATCTTCTCGGTGGGTCGCGTTTCCGATCCGGTGGTAGATTCTGCGAAACACGGCCCTTGCTAGGGTCCGTGTTAGCAACGTTGTCAGGTTTGAGCCCCGTGAGCTCACCTACTTAAGGTTACGCTGAAATAGCCTCTCAAAGCTCTCAGCTTAGGTAGAAAAAACAAGGAAAAAAAAGCGGTTAACACTGCCTTGAAGGGAGTTTTGTTTTTACTGAAAAAGTTAAAAACATATTATGGTTAAGAGTGCAGAATAGAGAATTTCCAAAGGTGCCTTTATTCTAAAATCGAGCTCTAAAATATAATTTATAGAGATTTCTTCTTTGACTACATTGTTTTTGGAACGAAGTTCCTTACGGTAGGCTTGGAGGAGATAGGAATTTTGCTGCACGACCGAACTGAAAAAAATGTGATAGTAAAAACCGTAAGAAAAAGTCCGTGGAATAAGGCCTTGTTTTCCGCAAAGCGATATTTCGGCGCGCGATTTTTTTCTCGTAAATCTTTTTTGAAGTGAAAACTTCTTTAGAATCGTTGTGATTTCAAACCGGATGCAACGGAAAAAACGACAGGTAAGAGACACAAATACAAAGAATGAGACAGAAATATACATACTATTTAATACAGCGCCATCTGTGAGATTTTTTAATACTAACGTGTGTATGAAAGCTCTTGTAGTGAATTTTAATTTAGGATTATACGTGANTGATTTCAAACCGGATGCAACGGAAAAAACGACAGGTAAGAGACACAAATACAAAGAATGAGACAGAAATATACATACTATTTAATACAGCGCCATCTGTGAGATTTTTTAATACTAACGTGTGTATGAAAGCTCTTGTAGTGAATTTTAATTTAGGATTATACGTGAAATTAAAATATCAATTCACAGAGGGCGCTACCTTACAATAATTTTATTTTTTAAATGGAACTTCATTCCTATCCCGTGTCGCACGACACCACACATCTTTTTTATTCATTTAAATGCAAAGCTCCTTTTTTTTTTAGGAGTTTCTTGGATTTTTTCATCATTATTCATGATTTAATTACCTTGAATACTAAAACTTTTTTGTAACATTTTTGACTGTGAATTATTTTTTTTTCGTTTTGTGATTCATCACTCACACAAATGAGGCTTAAAAATTAAGAATGGTGGTGTAGTATTTTCGTGGCAGAATATATATATATATATGGACTTGTTGTTGTCTGAAATAAAATAAATCATTCATTCATTTATTTAATTGAGGTTCTACTAGTCAAAAAACAATATATACCTGGGCGCAAATGTTAGTTGTGACGCGACGGCTCGTGTTAGAATGAGATGAGCATTTCTCAAAATTTTTGATAAGCTTCATTTCATTTCTTAATATCATTTTTCATATAGAAAAGTTTTTATTAAAATTAAAATAAGATTTAACCTAAAGGTCTTAGTTACCAGGTCATAAAATCCCTTAAAAAAAATAAAGGCTCGTAGCCATAGATTAACACTTATTTTATTTGAGTAAATATAATAAAGCTGTGGCTCAAAGTAAATGATTGTGTGTAGGTATTTAGATTTAAATTTCATTCTGTGAGACTGTAAGAAGATATCTGCTGATCAGTGCTATGTGGTTATGTTTTGATAATAGAAAATAGTTGGATTTTCAACCATGGTACCTGTAGCTATAGAAGGTTGTACTCAAGGTGCCGAGGGTGGCGGAGCTCGAGTTGGCTCCATTTCTCTTGCTATGTTAATAGATTTCATCGTTCAAAGAACTTACGATGAACTTACTGTGCTGGCAGAACTGTAAGTTACTATTCATGCACTAAAAAATCCTGATTGTAAATAAACAATACCATAATATAAATAATGTTTTAGGTTGCCTCGAAAAACGGATATGGAACGTAAAATTGAAATTTATAAATTTAGTGCAAGAACGCGTCAATTATTTGTACGTTTACTTGCTTTAGTAAAATGGGCAAGCAGTGCAACAAAAGTGGACAGGTCGGCTCATATTATGGCCTTCTTGGACAAACAAGCAATGTTGTTTATTGAAACGGCTGATGTTTTGGCAAGAGTGGCTAGAGAAACTCTAGTTCACGCTAGGTATGTATTAAACTACTGTAATAAAATAGGGTCTTATATGTAATATGAGATGTATGTGACCCTAAGACATGGGTTTTGCTTATGTTAGTGTATGTATTTCCTATACACCTAACTTGTCCTTCTTAAACCCTATCTTAAGCACTGGTGGAATGGATTTTTGTGAACCCACATAGGCAAAATTGCTGTACTCTTTGTCTGCCAAGAAGCAATCTCCCTAATGTATTATAATATAGTATAATTTAAAGGGTGGGATAATCAAATTAGTCAATAGCTATCAGTATTACAATATTCTGTATATTGTCTGTGATTGGTCTGTGAGCCTAGACAATATTCAGTAACTGTCACACATTTGAGCTCACAAGCTTTTCTGAAAATGCAAAATATTTTTAAGTCTGTTACTTATGAATTATATAATGAACCTTGTATTAACTAGTTTTAAATTAACAATAACAAGTCAATTACTGAATTTGAATTGATATATTATTATTAGGACCTTGAATAAGCTGTTTCTTTTTCAAAATTATAGTTTTATTTAAATTATGAGGAACAAAAACATTTTATTTAAAGTATTGCCTATCTCTAGCCAAACCAATCGCAAGGCCAACTTTCCCATCTTTCTAGCAGTATATGAAGTTCATGTGGGAAAACAATGTGTCTTTTGAGGCTATCTAAGAATCGATCCATTTCTTAGATTCTTCATATGAATGTAAGCGCTGGTCAGATAAGCCATAGAACAGAATAGGTGAAAATCAAAAGGTTCTATGTCAGGTGAATACGGCGGGTGGGGTAGAAGTTCCCATTGAACTTGTTGAACTTCTAAATCATTCTAAAATCTTTTAAACATTTTGAGACAGTTGACTTATCTACTTGTAATGTTTTTTCAAGTTCTGCTAATGTCTAACATCGGTCTTGATCAAGTAATTCCTCAAACTTTTCGTTTTTGAATTTTTTTGCTGCGTCAGATTGCTCTTTATCCTCAAGTTTGAAGCATCAAAACTCGGCATGTCGTATCTGACAAAGCATTGTCACCATAAGTCTCAACAAGAATTCTATGTGCTTCAGATTTCAACTGCCATGTTTGAAGAAACAGGGAGAACTTATTCAAGGTCCTAATAATTTATTTATTATTTATGAAGCTTAAACTAAATACAAAAATTGATATAATAATATTAGTACACAAAGTAATTGAAGGTTTATGATTTCTAACTCTTTTTCCATGGATGAATTCTGAGAAATCCTGAGAAACCTTTTCTTCTTGCATATATGATTAAAATTCAAAATTGTAATATCCTATTATGATTTCCTTAAGTGTATAACCAACAGCTCCAAAAAGTAGGAAAGTCTAACAAAGGACTAGAAAAACAAACAAATAGGCTTTCTAGTTGTGATTACTTTCTTTTTTAACCATCTATAGTCTCCCAAATAATTTATAAATATTCAGGCTACCAACATTCCATATGGCGGCAGCTGTTGAAGTGCTCACTTTGGGTACATACAGCCGGCTACCAGCTGTAATTCGTGAGCGTTTAGTACCGCCTCCCTCATTGACTGCCGGAGAACGCAGATCTACACTTCGTGCTCTAGCTCACATTGTCCGACAGAGGCTCACTACTGCATCACTACCCAGTGATGTGAGAAATTTAAAGGTAATAATATTTTAAAATCAACACATTATTTGTCTGCCCTTTCTTAGACTATTGTTTTTTTATTTTAGGTTGAGAATGGCAGAGCCACATTTACGGTAGGCCAGGATTTTAGTGTATCTCTCACAGTAATGGGAGATGCACCTAACCTACCATGGCGTTTATTGGATATTGCTATTCTCATCCAGGATAACGAAACAGGAGGTAATTAATAAAATCAACACATTATAACATTTGTGACATAACTATGCATCATAAAGCATATGTATAACTGAATTATATTTTTAACAGAGGGTAAGCCGTTAGTGCACAGTTCTCAACTTGCATGGCTTCGTGGAGTAGCTCAAGCAAGATTAGCAGCTGCTGGGCTAAGTGGCGCGCTCACCTCGTTACGTTTCTTTTGTCGATCATTGTCACTAGAATTACTATATACGCAGACGTTAAGGCTATGTAGAGATAGATTATCCCGACATCTTCAAGTTGACAAATATATTCCGGGACAAAAGTTGCAGGTGTCATATTGGAAGTAAGTAATTTTATAAATATAAATTTCCTTTTAATGTATTTAAATTAAATAAACTAAGAAGATAATTTATATAATACAGAGAACTAGGCTGTGAATTGGGGTATCGACTGGTCATCGGAGCTGAGGCTGATCAGCTGTGTGTATGGCATGTTCCGGCACTAGCAGGCGGTGAACGCGTAGCGACAGCGCTCACTCCGCACGCGCCTTCAATGGAGCGTCTACTTGCTCACACAGTCCATCAGCGCTCTAGGCAACGACTCAATGATCTAAAAGTTCTGCTTAATGATATGGGGGTTAGTGATGATTCCATTTAAATTATCAAAACTTTGCTTTCACTAGATATCAATGTAGTGAATATTGTGATCCAGATAATATTGTGCCATAAATAATATTATTATATATTTAATTAAAATATACTATGTAATTTAAGATTATGTATTTAATTAACAAAGAAAATCATATGATTGTAATAAGAAAACTCTGACATCTTTTTGTGAAGGAACTGTTTAATTTTCAAACCTCATTTTTATTCATCATTGGATAAACACACTGTGATATCATAAATTAGAAACGATACTATGTAAGAAGTGTTTTTTTTTATGGCTTAGATGTGTGGACGAGCTCACAGCCCACCTGGTGTTAAGTGGTTACTGGAGCCCATAGACATCTACAACATAAATGCGCCACCCACCTTGAGATATAAGTTCTAAGATCTCAGTATAGTTACAAAGCCTGCCCCACCCTTCAAACCGAAACGCATTAGTGCTTCACGGCAGATATAGGCAGGGTGGTGGTACCTACCCGCGCGGACTCACAAGAGGTCCTACCACCAGTTAGAAGTAGGAATATAGAAATACAGTAAGAAGATTGATTTCCATCGGATTTAGGTGGAGTGCAGCGTGGGCGGCTGGCCGTGCGTGCTGGCGTGCTCGGTGGTGTCGCCGTGTCTGCGCGCGGAGCAGCTGCTGGTGTCGGTGGGCGCGCACGGCGGCCGGCTGCGGGCTCGCGTGCCCGCCTACCCCGCCACGCCGCGCATGCCCGACCTCGCTGCCGCACTCGCTAGATCCGATCTCAACCAGATCAAACTGCACCTCACGCATCTTCGGTAAGCCTTACAGTTTCCGATTGCTGCTCCGCAATAAACAGAAGACAAATATGTATGTTCAATGAATTCTCAACCTTTGTTGAGTCACCATACTCTCTTTTTCTCCACCTTATCCCACTAGGTGGAGTCGGCACAGCTAATTTTTCTCTTCCATTCTCTTCTATCAGCCATAATCTCAACACTCACTCCTCTCCTGTCTTCGGTCGACTTGCACTACCATTTCCATACATCTCCTTGTTGAGTCACCATACTGAACTCGTACAATACGATTTACAATAGGATACAAGTGATTCAAAACTAATTTGAATGGATTGACCTTTTCACCCTTAAAATACGTTTGATGATTATGTATTAGAACGAAGTCTTATTGTTTCATAGATTTTGGCTTGTTGCGCGGCGCTGTGAGAAAACCCTCCAGCATCTACCCGCCAGTGTCTGTGAGCATCTACCGTTCCTGCACGGACCGGATCACCCACTGAATCAATTGTCGTCAGACCGACTTTATGTGACGCTTCATCGTCACACAGATCACATTCTGGTTTGTATTCGTTCTATTTCATTCATTTTACATTATTGTATCAAGTTATTGGGTACTCGAAAAATAGGTACACTTTATTGCGAGTGAGCGAGTCCACGGTTCATCACAGCGTTGCAACTTTGAGGTATGAGGTCTACGTTCCTATTGTATAGCATAACGGCAGAGAAATGGCCTGTTGATTGTGGTACTTACCCGTGCAGACTTACAAGACCCCAACTGTCCGTAATTATCTAAGTGTATAATTTGTGTGTTTTATTTAATGTAAAAATATTGTCTAAAAATAACCAATTGAATATTCATCAGATTCATACAGTAAGTGTTAAATTTTTAACCCAGGTCGTTTTTTGTAATATTTTTTAATATATTTTCTTTGAACAAGCCTTCGACAGTGAATAAACAAAACACTGATCATTCTTAGATTAACGCTGACTAACGATTTATCTATGACATTACTTGACGATTCGCACTCTCCACTAAGTTGAAACCATTTACAAAATTGAAATAGTTTAAATTTAAAAATACGTATTAGACTTGATTAAGCTACGATAAAATTGTAAACTATGTATTGAAATCGCGATTATTTAATTCACTAATACCCATTATACTTTAATAGAGACACATCGAATGAAGTTGTTGTAGCTATACGTTAGTCGTTGTAACTTGTAGTAGTTGTAGTCGTTGTAACTATACTGAGACCTTAGAACTTATATCTCAAGGGGGGTGGCGTATTTGCGTTGTAAATGTCAATGGGCTCCAGTAACCACTTAACACCAGGTGGGCTGTGAGCTCGTCCACCCATCTAAGCAAAAAAATCGGTTGTCTGTAAAGTCGGTTTCCTGACGATAGTTGAACGTGACAACGTCATAAGAAAATACGCCTCAGAGCGAGGTAACGCCGCATGAGTCATGTTTTTTCGTGCGTGCAGCCGGCTCCATCGAATTATAAGAAGTTGTCACGTCAAAAACAAAAAAGTTGTCTACATTGAAATAGATAGTGGAAATGAAAGAAGTAGCAGCGGGCAGCACGGCCACCACGAGCAACAGCTCCAACAGCGGCAGCGCCTGCTCCGTCGCGCTGTCCTTCCATCTCGCCGGAGCCAGGAGATGTACGCCTGAAGAGTGCGAGGAGGAGGTACTAACAATTGATCTTGTTTAATTCAATTCAATACTTATAACATGAATGAAAGGCGATTGCGTGCAGCAGAGATGCGAATGCTGCGATGGATGTGTGGAGTAACGAGAATGGATAGTAGAATACGGAATGAATATGTTAGAGGAAGTCTGAAAGTGGCACCTGTGACAGAGAAGTGGAGAAGTGCGCGTTTGGGATGGTATGGACATGTGATGAGACGAAATGAAAATGAGGTTGGTAAGAGAATGCTAACCATGAATGTGGAAAGATATAGAGGAAAAAATGGTATATGATAGAAGAGTATGGAAGGAGAAAAGATGTTGCGCCGACCCCAGATGACTGGGAGAAGGGCAGGATAATGATGACTTATAACATACATCCACGGACAGTAAATTTATGAAACTAAGGACCTGTCCTAAACATAGAATTTCCAAGACAAAGTCAACGTAAAACTTGTTAGTTATCATCATGTATATTTCTGATGATTGTATTCAATACCAGACGCCATCGCCGGCTAATAACAACCAGCCCCCGCCGACTGCAGCGCGGGCCTTTCTGAAGCTGCACTCGCTGGTTGAACTCGATACTTTCACACTTACTCACGGACCCTTTACGCCTTTGGATACTCCAGGTATTTTTATCGTCTTTTTAACCTTTTGTCTTGAAATTTTATGTACAATTAAAACATAATAGCAGTGATCGAATAGAAGACATATATTATCTAACTAGCGACCCGCCCTCGCTTCGCTTCGGAAACATTAAAACAAACATGAAACAAAAAAAAAAAAAGAATTTTTCAAATCGGTCCAGTAGTTTCGGAGCCTATTCGAAACAAACAAACAAACAAACAAATCTTTCCTCTTTATAATATTAGTATAGATAGGACTACTTTGTTCATCTATCATGCGCACGGAATGTGTTTTTTTTTCAAAGAGATGACGTCTTTACCTTTTTTAATAACATGAAAAAAAAACGTCTTTCTTTAAGAATAAATTTTACTCAAATTCAATTTATCGAGAGTCTAGCGGCCCGCCCCGACTTCGCTTGAGATGTAAAGGATTTTAGGTATTTTTTTTACACATTGGGTTACATTATTGGAGTTTCAGTAAGGATCCCTAACTTTTTTAAAAATATAATAAATATAGCCTATTTTTATAGGCCTATAGAATTTTTTAAATCGGTTCAGTAGTTTCGGAGCTTATTCAATACAAACAAACAAACAAATCTTTCCTCTTTATAATATTAGTATAGAAAATTGTTGACATTATAGCCATGATTAATTCGTAATTCTGTTTTGATCAAGGTATGCAGCCGGGTAAGAGGAAGTTATCGTCTCCGAACGCCCGGTCGGTGCGCGTCCGCCAGCCGGCGTACTTCTTGCCGGAGCTCGCACACGTGGTGGCGGCCGCCGACGAACGCGTTCCCTTCGTGAACCTCGCCCAAGAAGTACGTTTTCATATTAATCAATACTAATGATCTTCCGGTACTCGAAATTCGACTATCTATCTATCTATCTATCTATCCATCTATCTATATATATAAAAATGAATTGCTGTTCGTTAGTCTCGCTAAAACTCGAGAACCGCTGGACCGATTTGGCTAATTTTGATCTTGAATTATTTATGGAAGTCCAGAGAAGGTTTAAAAGGTAGATAAATATGAAAATGCCCGTAATTAAATAAAAATAACAATTTTGTTTTCCCTGTGATGTGTCCTCCGTTGGACGGATTCCTTTTGTTTGTTTTAAGTTTATTTTATACAAAAGTTTAGGTCTTTTATTTATCAATTGAGGCACTACGAAGTCTGCCGTGTCGGCTAGTAATTAATTAAAATTATAAGTTTGTACTATTGTACACTATTATGATTCTATTCTCAAATACTATTTATTATACTTCTATAATCACAGATTTCGCTAAGACTACACTTTAGAGAAATGTTAATAAAGACAAGCAATATTTAATCTATTCTCAATTTGACCATAGACTATAAGCAATAAGAAAAGTTTGACAATAAACAAAAACGTTTAAGTGCGTATGTATCAAATACATGGTAGCGTGCGTAATGCTTTTTTGATGGATTTATTTATTTATTTATTTATAACTTCTTATACTAGAAAGTATAAAGGCGGACTTAATGCCATAGGCATTCTCTAACAGTCTACCTTAGGGGAGTGCAGAGATGAAGCTTGGTAGGTGTAGTGTAAAGGGGATATTACTTAAACATATATTATGTGTATATATAACATACATAATACATAGTACTTAAATAAATACATATACATAAATATATAGATATATATAAATATATACATATAAAAACATATATAAACAAATATTATCAATTAGATGACTCTGCTAACTCTCTGAGAAACAGTTCTCGAACCTTCGTCTTAAACGCTTCACGTGTAGTGGNGGACTGCAATGTACTCAACAAATGTTGTGAATGAATAAAGTTGGACAGTTGTTTGTGCGCACAAGCTTCTAAAACCTTAGATAGGAAAGGAAGTATGGATATAGGTCGGAAGTGAGTAACAAGGGTAGGATTCGGTATTTTAGGAAGAGGAATGACATAAGCCTTACGCCATTGGGAGGGAAACATGTTGGTACTAAAGAAGAAATTAATGATGTGGGTTATGGTGAGAATAAGATGGTCTAAAGCTGTGGTAATCATGCGACGGGTGATTTTGTCATAACCAACAGCATTAGATCTAATGGATAGGATAATTTTACTAATATCATCTGAAGTCATTGGAGAAAATTGGAAGGGGTCAATGTCTGGTTTAGGTAACCCAGCTATAAATTCAATAATGTGTGTTTAATGTGTGTTTGTATGTATTATTTGTTTATTATTATATTGTATGTTGTTTGTTATTATATTGTATGTATATGTGTGATTTAATGTGTGTTTGTATGTATGCATGTATTTTTTATGCATAATTTAATAAAATATTTACATTCTGCACTCCTTCTATATACTCTGTATAAGTGTGGGAAACTTCACAAACTACACCTCCACCCGCGCAATTTTCGTTAAAAGGCGGTACAAAGATTTTGCTTCACGTATTGATATAGGTATAGATTCTTATGACACCGAAACCGTCATTTATTAAACCTAATGTTTTGGTTAATAGCCGTTGGTTAATAGATACAATTATGTAAGTTATTGGAATATAAATCCGGTCCACGCCAAGTGCACGTTGATGAGTGTGTGACGACAGTTGTCGAGCCGCGGCGTGAGTCACGGCGGGGTGCAGGGCGAGTGGAGCGGCTCGGCGCTGGGCATGCGGCTGGTGTCGCTGCCGCTGCCGGAGGGCGCCTCGGTGGCGGCCGGCTCGGCCCTGCGCGCGCGCCTGCTGGCCACCACCGTGCGCCTCACCACCAAGAACCAGGCGCGGGTTTGGACGGCCGAGATCGTATTCCACGGTTCGCCTCTACGCACGCCCAACCCTAAAGAACAAGGTCACGTTTCCTAATTACAATATTTGCCACTTATATTAGTTATTCTGGTAGTGGTCAATAATGGTTCAGGGCGTTATCGGGAGTGAGATAATTAAATAACACAACTGGTTAATCGGAGCGTTTATTCGCGACTGAACTTAAAAAGTAAAAAGCAAGCATGTTATGACTACGAATAATTTTGTTTATATAACAAACTGTGTCCCTACATTAGAAATCATATTAATAATGTCTTATACTGGCGGTAGGACCTCTTGTGAATCCGCACGGGTAGATTCCACCACTCTGCCTATTTCTGCCGTGAAGCAGTAATGCGTTTCGGTTTGAAGGGCGGGGCAGACGTTGTAACTATACTGAGACCTTAGAACTCATATCTCAAGGTGGGCGGCGGCATTTACGTTGTAGATGTCTATGGGCTTCGTTAACCACTTAACACCAGGTGGGCCTATCTATGCAATAAAAAAATAATGTATATATTTGATTCAATGATGACAATAATCATATGTAGATTCACAATTTTTTATAGTCAAGTTATTATACAAAAAAAGTAATAGTATAAAATTGTGCGTATGACCGAGTAGCATCAGAAATCCTTGTGTTCAAAGAGAAGGAATACTATTAGTCCAAAATTGAATTTTCAGTTTCTTAGTTTAGAGCGTGTTTATGTCACAAACGTTACAGTGTTAATTAAATTGTAGACGGTATAATGATGAATGTACAGTAAGGAACGAAATAAGCGCCTGAAGACTTACCGATTCACCTTCCTTCCACTGCCTCGCGCTCCCTGGGCTCAGCGTCGTTTCCGGAGGTGGGACCGTCTGTCCCTTGACTGGTACACGATGAATATATTGTCGCTGGTTCTATGTTTATGCGTGCCTTGCGTTGGATAGTTTTTGTTTTTATAATAATTAATGCATGCCGCGGAACGCGTGTGCTATGTATTCTATGCGACGGCGATCTCTGCCCGTAGGCTTGGAGGGGTTGCTCGGCAAGCTTCTGGTTGGCTAGTCACCCGTCTACAGGCGAGATCGAACCTTACTGCGCCTAGGTTAAGACTTGTGTTGTCTTGAAGATGTAATATATTCATTATCTAATACTTGATACTAATAAAATATACGAAACAAGGAAATATCTGTTTCAGTACGAAACAATGAATTTTAAAAAATACATTTGAATTAACAAACTGGTAAAACGAATTTATAAATGGTACAGGAGAAAGGCGCTGTGTGTACCTGCAGTACGAGCTGGGCACGGACGCGGGCCGCACCGCGGAGGCCTTCCTCGCCGACTGGGCTGCCATCGTGCACCTGCACACGCTGCTGCACGACTTCATGTTGCGGCCAGCTCAAGGTACTTTTAACTTTGCGGGTTTCATTTTATTACACGATGCTATCTCTTTATAATGTTGTATCCTGGCAGGGTCGCCATTTTTTACTGGTGGTAGGACCTCTTGTGAGTCCGCACGGGTAGGTACCACCGCCCCGCCTATTTCTGCCGTGAAGTAGTAATGCGTTTCGGTTTGAAGGGTGGGGCAGCCGTTGTAACTATACTGAGACCTTAGAACTTATATCTCAAGGTGGGTGGCGCATTTACGTTGTAGATGTCTATGGGCTCCAGTAACCACCTAATATCAGGTGGGCTGTGAGCTCGTCCACCCATCTAAGCAATAAAAAAAAAGAAAAAAAAAACTTTGGGAGGTGTTAAAGGAAAACTTCTGCTTGCGTGTATTCCATGTTTAATTATCATCTTAATCCTAGTTTACAATTATGAAGAAGCCTGTTTCTGGGTGGTCCGCCTTATTAGGGGGACATACGAGATAACACTTATTAATTATGTTATATACTAAATGATATGCTAATTCTATGCTATGCTATGCTATAATATATCAGTATACGAGGGCTGCACTAAAAGTATCGGGAATGGAATATTTCCACTGTTCCTGTCATATTAAAATCTTTTTAATTGAAAACTCCTTGGTTTTAAAAATCGAATACCATTTATTTATTTAAAAAAGATTCTCGGTCTTGTCACGAGGTTTTGTCAAACTTGTTTAGTCGTTGAGAACATAGATTATACACTTAATATATTAGAGATAGATGCGCAACTCTCATTTTTATTTTTGCTTTAGTTAAAGCCCGGTCCAGCAGGCGTCGCTACAGTCGATTATTAGTCTCCCTACCAGGTGGCTTTTTTAGTAATTTTAATATTTTTAATAACTCTTTATGAAAAAATCTTATCGTTTAGAATCGCTGGAATTCCTGATTGTGTTCAGCATTCTAATCGATAAGATCTTTTCATACAGAGAGAAAACAGTTTTTTAAAATAAAAAGCTGTAATTCTCTGTAAGCTATTTAATTTCCCTATATTACAAACAATTTTCGGTTAAAAGATTGTATGAACGTACAATTGTATAAAACTTCGAATAACAATAACTCCTCTAGATTAATCCTACTAGCGTACTTATNCAATGTGACTTTTGGACAATTATTGGTAAATCAGAAAAACGAATTATTGACTTTGTATTCCATTGGCAGTCACAAAACTCTTCTGAACGACATCTTAGATAAATAACAGGTTAAGTTAATACTTTATTTAATGCAGGTTTTGAACCGTATTCTTTGAAGGAGACGATTATATTCAAATCAATCTGTATTGACATATCAATAAAAAAATTTGTCCAAATGCACAGATTGCCACCTTTGATAATAGACGACTCACTTATCGCGTATCAAAAGCAAAAAAGCTTTGCTTTGCTTAGAAATTATGGAATCTAACTCTACTACTATATATACCTATTTAAAAACATTTACGTGTCTCGGTATCCCGGTATCCTCGGTATCCCGTTCTTGCAGCTACCAGATAATTTTAAATTCAAACTTAGTCCCGTGGTCGAAGGCCGGTCACGCCCGGAACGGGTTAAAATTCAACCGTTCTTTTACCCTAATTTATTCAAATAAATTTTCGACGCGGCACGCGATTGTAGCGGGCCAGTTTCTGTTCTAAATGGTATTATTTCGTCGTTACATGGTAATTTGGGCATGAGGGAAAAGGATAGTCATTTTCAGAAGCGAAGCACCTATCTTACAAACTAAAAATGCTCTACTCATTTTGTCTTTATTTTAAGTTAATTCAGTCGTTTAAATCCGCTCCAAGATAATTTTAGGTGATTTCATTCTACGTTATTGTTATAATTATAGTAAATAATGGAATAATGTAAACAAAATATTTATAGTAAAATTGTATTTATCTTAAATGTTTTTGTAAGTTTATTTTAAACTAGGTGATATTTTTAGTTTGTAGGAGGTCAACGGCTTATGGATATGTCTGGTGACGCCAGGCACTGTTACATGGTTGATGGGATCTTCGTTTGCTGTAGTAGGCAATAAAACTACTTTATGAGGTTAAATAAGATCAACCGATCTTTATCTCTAAACTAGCGACCCGCCCTCGCTTCGCTTCGGAAACATTAAAACACACATGAAACCAAAAAAACAAAATAAAAAATAAATAAAAAAAGTAGCCTATATCAGGGACAATGTCGGCTTCTAATGGAAAAAGAATTTTTCAAATCGGTCCAGTAGTTTCGGAGCCTATTCGTAACAAACAAACAAACAAATCTTTCCTCTTTATAATATTAGTATAGAAAATGTAAGGCCACCGTAAAGCACACGTATGAGCTATTTTCGTCATTGATAAGTGTACAATAGATGGCGCGCGAATAAATAATAATTAATATTTACTAACAATCACGCCACGTTAACTGGTCCCATGATAAGTTCGTAAAGAACTTGTGTTACAGGTACCAGACAACGGAAATAAATGTAAGATTTTTATTATACACATACATATATTTAATATACATCCATAACCCTGGAAAAGACATTTATATTTATCATACAAACATCTTCCCTTGGCGGGATTCGAACCCGCGACCCCCTTGTGTAGTGACCATGTCACTTACCACTACACCAGACGGTCGTCAAATAACCGATATAATAAATAACTGAATTGAATGATATAAACTAAGACTAAGACCTTACATCACTAAACCACAAAGCTTAAAGCACCTTCACATCCGGACTTCATTATAAATTCAAAAGTAACCATCGTCGGAATCGATCCTCGCCACTCGAGTCTATGATTTGCATTGCAGACGCTGCTGAGTCAGCTATTACTGAACACTTTGACTAATCTTCAAAGAGCGGCTACTTCTGGTGGAGATACCTTCAAACCGGAAGAGTCTCGTGTTTGAAGATGAATAATTATTTTCTGGGGAAATTCGTGTAATAAAATTCTTTTGTGCTCTAAATATAATAGAATTACTCGTATATTCATAGTAATGACATTATACTTGTAAGCGTTCAATGTGCTTATTGCGAGCATTTTAACTTCACGATCTCGTAAAAGTTAATTGAAAATTGTATGGAATTGGAACAGTGTTCCTAGCGACAAACAAAACAGTATAATATATAATTATGACTTTGGTTTTACAAAAGTCAGACTACCTATCGAAAAAGTGCCGGTGCTAACGGTAGGTATTATGTGTACATGTAATTCAATAGCTTGTGGCTTTGACAATTGGAACATACCTATGACTTTTATTCATATTTTAGAAATTCATACGTGAAATGAAGTCTGCAACAACAAACAAGTTACAAAGTTGCTAACAGAGTTAAAATTGCTGTATTTGAAGTGCCTACATCTTATTCATCTATGCTTACATTGCTTTTCATTAAATTCCCAATCAAAATTTCCATGTGCCTTGTCCAATATTCCCAAAAAACATTGCACAGCAGAGAAATAGAATACAAACGAAAACATGAAATCAAAAAACCTACTAGACATTATTACAAACTCGGTGCACGAATAAAAGCAGCGGGAGGCTAGTGGCGCTACTTTAGCACGTTCTGGCTTTTGCAGTTTTAAAAATGCCCGAAATTTCATTTCGTTTTCACGTTTGCTAAGGGCTGCGCTATCTGTCATTGATTTTATGCTAAACATATAAATTATTTAGCATCGAAACAATAAGATAAAGATAAAGAAGCCTTTATTAACAACCTTAATTCATATTTAGGTACATATTTTTTTTCTTTTCATTTGACATCGGCTAAGATTGTTTTGCTTTCGCATAGGCATCGAAACAATAATGCCGAGTTAATTTTTTGATATTTGTTAGAGACGGATTAGAATAACCGGGCTATCGATAAGTCAAAATTGGACGACATTATTTATATGCAACAAGAAAAGCATAAGTCGTCGTTTATTGTGACATTAATAAATATTTGGTGTAAAGATTGGTGTAAAGAACGGGTGTGGCTGGAGTTTTTCTAAATCTCTTAGCGGCACTTTATTACATTACAATGTTACGTCATGAAAGACTATTATTATTTGTTTCGGAATTTTTTAGATGTCAATTACCTGAATGCCCTGTTTTTAAAGTTCTTAATTAGGTAATTGTTATACTCGTACTATATGACGGTATCTTCGACTTTATGTCTCTAGATGGGTACTGGCATTACGTTGCCATGTCTATTGGCAGTAGCTACTATACAACGAGCTCATTCCGGTTTGAGCCCCGTGAGCTCACCTACGAGTTAGGGTGAAGCTGAACTAGCCTCTCAAGGCATTGGTAGGAATAAGAGAAAAAAAACAACGGGTGTAACTACCTACACATTTTAACGTCACCACTATGTACCGGGGCTTTTATTTATGGGGGCGTAGTGGAGTTGTTGAGACTGTTTATATCTTCAAGTCTGTTCATCATACATAAACACCAACGTGTTATAAAACTAGCAGAATAATGGACAGAAAACTGTCAAGAGAAAACAGAAATCTTTCTACTTACTGAATTCAAATCTGACTGCTAAGCTGTCAAGTGTGATTCGTTCTTAAGGTAATTTTTGGTTTTTAAATAAAATTAAAGAATTATTAAATTTTAATTAAAATTTGTGTCCTGACAGATTTATAGAGTTTTTAATGCCGTTTCTATGAGCTAAACGATACAATAGTTCAAGTAAAAAATAAATCAAAGCGTACATAAAGCACGTGCTTTCACAAATCTCTTGACACATAACCCATGAATCAGCTCGCTGAGTTTCTCGTCGGATCTTCTCAGCGGGTCGCGATTCCGATCCGGTAGTAGATTCATTCGCGAAGCAGTTGCTCTTGAATTATTAGGTCTCCTTCGGAGGCGTTCGGGCAGCTGTTAGCAAATCCCACCCCTTCTGGCTGAACCTTTGCTCGCCCACCTATCCTGGTGAAACTGAAAAAGCCTCCGGGCCACCAGCAATACTTCAATCATTAAAAAAAAAATCTCTTGATAATCAATAGAACGAGCGATAAGGACGTTTAAAATGAATTAATTAAATATACATAATGAAAGTTTCCATTAAAATATAATAAT